AGCAGGCTTAGGGACTTATAGCTCTAAAAAAATACACAAATATGCTGCTATAATCATTGAAATATGCATTGAAAAAAAAAAAATTGACCACTAAATCTTGACCATAGGTTCTAAAACTTAAGCTAAAACAAATTATATGATTAATAGTTATAAAATTACTTATAAAACAAAGGCAATTATTTTTATTATAGTTTACACCTATATATTTAAGAAATCAGGCATCACCGTCAACTTAAAATATAAACCACACTTATAAATTATAAATACAGATAGGTACATACTTTGATATGTGTTCTAAGATTTGAATTTGATAATTTTGAAGTCGAAATGTGTTTTTCTTTTGGACCACATAAAATGCACTTAAAAATCAAATTATTTTTGTTTGCATTTAAACCGCTTGATTTAAGTTCTTCAAAATAAGAAATCATTGTTGGCCATTTTGGTTGATCATTGGAGCTATTCACTTCTTGGTGTTCTGGTTCACTAAAAACTGAGAAAAATATTTATTTTTTTAAATTAGAAAAAAATGTAGTTACAATAAATAGAAATATATTGAAAATAAATAAAAATATTGAAAATTTCAAATTTGTATATTATACTAACAATAAATTAGTTTAATAAAGTGTTTCGTGTTTTTAATACCCATATAATCTATATAGTATATTCTATAGGTACATGTTTATTACTACCTATATACAATACAGTATAATATGAATACATATAATAATAATATATAAATAATATATAATATATATTATATATATTATAATACTACTTACTACTATATTACTTACTTGGATAATTATTATTATTCATGTTTATGTCCAGTCCAAGTTACAATACGTAGGTACAAAATACGCAATAAATAATTAAACTAATAGTGAAAACACTGAAAACGTATTAGTTATTACTTATTACTGACAAACTGCAGCAGTGTAAGCGACTGATCAAACTAGTGAGGAACTGAGGAATGAAAACTATGAACTAAGAATGTATAAATGTATATTACACCACTATAGGTAGGTAGCCAGGTAGGTATTTTTGTAGTACAATTATTATAACATATTAAATGTTAAATATACATTTATATAATAAACAAATAAATAGAAATAGTCACAATTCATGATACAAATTATAAAATATTAAATAATAAGAAATAACTAATGAGACCTAATGGCTAATAATAATGATAATAAGCCATTAAGCCCGCTATTATTACGCTATTAAACGTGATTTCGTGGGACTGTCATGTCATGACCAACATGACATTAATAATTAACTTAAAGTTTTGCAATTCATCAAAGGATCTCGACTCTATATTAGATCTGAAGCTCTGTATAAGGTGATTATTTTCACGCAAGACTGTTTGCAATGATTCAATGAGACCTCTTTTTAAATTTGGAATCATATTTGTTCGAATAGATATTTGATCCGACTCTGACAGAAAATATATTTGTAAAAATTTAGCATTATTTCCAATTTCCGGTAATAAACTACCTACTAAATGATGCACTTGACCCTGAATTTTAAAAGTGGGCATGAAGTTCCCTTCAGCTATTTTGTTTGCTCCAAACGATGTCATTTGAAACAGAGTATTATACCGTCTAGAATTATCAAAGAAATGTTTTGATAGAGGGTGAGAATTATCAATTAAACTTTTAATTGATTCTGGAAGATACTCAAATTGTTGTAAAACAACTTTACCGTCAGCACAGCAAAGTCCATTGGTTTCATCTTTCCATTTTTTTGAATGGCACTTAGGACATAATATCGTCATTGGTCCTATTTGAAGCGCTTTAATATTTAAATAATCAATCTCGGATTGATAATTAAACGCTGATTTCATACTCAAAGCGTTACGTTGCTCCTGTGCAAGTGTTTGAGAACATTCTGGTGTGTTATACATTCTGTTAAACATTCGAGTAGCATTGGAAGTTCTTCTGCCAATGTATGCTCTTGGTGCTCTTGGCATGATAATGAATTAGCCACTTACCCGAAATTTAACTCATAAGAATAATCAAAAAGTAAGCACAAATTATGCTCGTAATGGGCGTATACGTAATTCACGAAATATAATAACTCAAATCAACAAACATGCCCAATTAACCAATAGCAACCATAGTACACTATTATTATTTTAATCTGTAACAACAACAACATTTTATTATTTAGTTTATTTTTTTCTGGACAGATTGCGCCACTGTTGTATTTTTGACATCCATATTTCCTACTTTCTGGTGGATTTTTCTAAACAAAAGTGGTCCTATGACCTCCAGCAGACTGTCAAGTATAACAGTAAACAATTTCAGCCAAATCGGTTCTGTAGTTTTCTCGGTTAGCGCGGTCTAAGAAAACCCTTACCATTTTATATAATAGTACCTATAGATAATAATTTATTATCTATTAGTATTATAGAAACGTACATGATAATCATATGTTTAAAAAAAATTTCTTTATTTGTATGCAACGTCGAAAAATTAAATTTGTTTCTCAAACCAAATTATGTGAATTTTTTTAAGAAGTGTGTCTGTAAATATTTTTTTTATCATCTTGTAGATCGTATCTTTGAGGGATTTACCCCCAACTCTTATAAGTTCACAGACCTATAATATGAATTAATACATATTACATAAATATGTCTTATGTTTTATGATCTAAGTTTGTAAATACTATATTCTATAATTTAAATTTGGTCAATTTCAATATAATATATATTCTTTGGATTTGTCAATACTAAAATGTTGAGACCAGAATCAAAACTATTTCTCGGATTTTAAAGAACTATAAATAATAAAAAAAAAAGTTCACTAACGAAAAATTGATGATAATCTTGTGTTTTACTGGATTTGTCGATGTGGAACATGGATACAGATTGCAGACTATTATTGATCCAAAAGCCTTTTTAAATTAAGTGGACGTTACAGTGGCATTTACCTTTTGGATCAATAATATGAATATTATTTTCAATAATAGTCTGTATCCGTGTTATACATCGACAAATCGAATAAAACAAAAGATTATCGTCAATTTTTCTTTGGTATTGTCTATTGAATATGTATAAATAGCCGTTTATATCCAATGTATCACACTTTTCATAAATGGATGGAGTGACGGTCAAACTTAATTCTATTTTTATTAAATTATACAAAAACTTTAAAAAATAACTTTTTGTAGACTGAGTGACTCTATTCGTTTTCGTAGACTGAGTTACTGATGACAAACTATATTATATCGTGCAAGAGTCAGTTAAGAATATAGTTTGTCATTAGTATCTCTGCAGTCTACGAAAACGAATGACTATAAAAAGATGTTTTTAAATTGTTTGCATAATTTAATGAAAATAGAATTAAGTTTGACCGTCACGCCATCCATTTATGAAAAGCGTGATACGAATCTAGGGAAAAAAAACCCAGGAAAAAAAGCCCCGTACCAACTAAATACATTATTCTTTTTTATTATGATTTACATAATTAAATATAATCATATTATAATCATTACATTTATCAATGTACCTAACACTTCTAAATAATCTATAACCATAAAATATATAATGTTCTAAAATACTAGTTTAATATTTTGTAAATAAATAAACTGTTATAGTGTTAAAACATTAATGTTAACAATTGTTTTTCATTAATTTATTATTAAAATAACTATTATATTATTAGTTATGTATCTAATTTAATATTTATTATACTAGACAATACATTTATTTTGTTAAAAGGTAACTATATAAAAAAAAAAATTACATCTAGTATATGATATTAAACAATAACTAATTATATCACAGTTAAAAAATTATAATATAACATAAACCATAAATCAAAACGTATACTATAATAAAGAGTTCAATAGTGGCCGAGCGGTCTAAGGTGTCGGTTGCGACGCAGCCGTCGCCGCGCCGGATCGATTCCCGGCCGAGGGTGGTATTTTTCTTAGGGCAAGTCATGGTGTCCGGAGAACAAGTCCCGCAATCTCCAACCCGGTCATGACAGATACCTACGGGTGCCCAAATCGAAAATTCTGCCAAAATACACACTAAAAGTATATACAAATTATATACCCTGTGTGCAAAAATTGGTGCTATAGATGTCACATAGACTTCTCATTTAGTAATGCGAAGTTATAAATTAATGCTTATTAACTTCTTTGAGATGTACTTGGTACGCCAAACGCCAGGTTGATTGATATTATAAATACGATATTAGGTTAAGTGAGGTATCATCTACATCTCTATAATCTCGCATGGTTTTTATATTTAAGTAACAAAAGGTCAAATAGAGCTACATTTTATAGTTGAATAGACATCTGATACAGGATCTATTAGAAGTTACAAAACAACGCATTCATGTCGCATAGAAGTATACATTATCAATAAATATAACATCCATGTGTTATCAATTAAATGCCTATATTTATATTCGCATGGATATCACAATATTAACACAATATTGAACATACTTTACATATAGATAAGTACCTATTTATATAGGTACATATAATATATAATATATATATATATTATTTGTATATAAACCTACTTATCCAACATACCTAAGTTGATTGACTTGAATATATTTGTGTATTGTGTTCATATAAGAATAAATAAATTATAATAAAGTTTAATTTATTCATAATTTAATAATTAATATTTAGGTATTTAAATTGCTTATAATAATTGAACAACTAGGTAGGTACCTATAATATATTAATATATATAATACTATACAAAACCGCATAGCCAATAAATACAAAAGTAGATTGTAGGTAGTATGACTGACTTATATATTTTATGTAGGTACCTAGGTACTTACCGTTAAAAAGAAATCTTGGTTTACATAATTTTTAAATATAAATTTAGTTTAGTTTATAGAAAAAACTACTGCATTCAATTATTGTGTATTTTTTTTTACTTTTAAAGCCTCAGTGGCTACCTATAACGTATTGCCTATTGGTATATATATATTAAAGTGATAATCGTAATTCATAACACTAATAATAGTTGAATAATAAATGTAAGAATACTAGATAGTAGGAGTTAGTAAGATTATAGCAACAATTATAGACTAATTATTTTTATTAGGATAAAATGTAGTATAGGAATAATAACAAACAACAGTATTGTCCAAGTAAATGCATAATTTTATTTAATTAAGATCATGTAACAATGTAATTGCAACTGCTTTTACATCAGAAATACTAAAAAATAAACATTTATGCTTAATATCACACATATTAATAAGAAAACTATCTGTTTCATCAAATATATCTACATAGAAGTCTCCAACAATATCAGACACTAATGGATTGTCAAAAAATGGGACTGCGTTGTATTTTACAACTTCAAAATATACACTTCCATTAGCCTTTTTTATAATTTTTTTAATACAAATAATGACATTATTTTTCAACAAAAAATACATATTTTTCTTGTTTACAGAACTCAGAATACAATTTTCAGTTATTACATTTTCATAAAGAGTATCTGTGGGATCAAGATGAATTAAATGATTATAAACTATTTCTTTTTTTAAAATTGGGTAACTAGCAATTGGTTCAACGATCTCAATTTTTGTTTGTTCTATTATTCTATTGAACACATCTTGAAGAGGAAAACGAGCATTTTTTAATGACATTTTAATCATTTGTAGGTAATTTTCAAATTTGAATGCACTAAATTTGTCCAGTGGTCCATGTATTTTTACAAAATGTGCAATATGAATTAAACCATGTACATTATATGTAATATACTCTTCACCATATAAAAAAGAATATTCTTCAACAAATTGTCTCAATAAATCATTGGCAACATCATTGTAAACCATACATGTATCACCAGATAACAGGAGTCTAATGGCGCAATGTAATAACATAAAGTGTTTGTAGAGCGATTTTTTTAATCTGCCCTTCAGTACAATAGGGCCAGAGTATAACAAAAAAGATCTAAACTCTGTCGCTTTCCAATACTCTAGTTCTTCTAAAGACCGAGGGGAACGACTAAATTCTTTGGGGAAAAATGCTTTAAGACAAATAAGCTCTGAAGAAACTTCATTAGAAATATCATCATTCAAAAATCGAACTGGTTTTTTGCCTTTTTTCCAAAATAACAATAATCTTTTGACAACGCCCAAACATATATTGTGCATATATTCTAATACCACGTTGTCTACTATATTTGTATTAAATTTGGTTAGTGGACAAAAACCTTTATGATAGTCTTCATCGTGTTGATTACGAAATGAAATATTTGTCCGTAAAGAAGAATTTAAGTCAGGAAAAGCCATTCGATTATTTAGAAAAACACCTTCGACAATACATGAATTACAGCTATGGTAGGCATTGTGTCCTTTTACATTCAAAATAAAAGCCTTTGCTGGGGCATCACAAATTATCTGGCTAATATTTAAAAAAAAAGTTTTGTTATTGATAGACAAGCCATTGACTAATAATAATTCCATTTCAGAAATGAATGGATTTAAAAAATCAGATATTGAATTTGGTTTTTTGAATTTACCATGGTAAATTCCAACAGGTACAACTATTTTAGATAATTCATGAATATCAATAAATGAAATTAATATAGGCCAAAAATTGGATTTTGAACTTTTTGTTGTAGGAAGACCATCAATATTCAAACTTAATTTAATTATAGAAGTATGTTTAATTTTATCAAAGTATTTAGTTAAGATTGGTGTGATCATGAACTCAATACCTATATGAATATACGATCCTGGTTCTATACTAATAATTTCATGTTTTTTAGGAGTTTTTAATAAGGTTCTCGAATCTTTGGGTAATTTAAGACCTTCTGATCTTAAAATTACTAAAAGCTCATTTACAAAGTTATGTGATACATGGTATTTAGAAATTAACTTTTGCAATTTATTTTCTAATGAAATTTGATCACAATCATTAACATAATTGTCACTTGCAAAATTATCTACAACACATTCAGCAGTAGTATGTACTACT